TGTCTACATTGAAATTTCGGACTTGTGAAATATTCTGTGGCATAGCTAGCCCGACTGTCCCAACTCTGGTTGCTGGTGATCAAAAGCCCATAACTTCATTGCATTGTTATGACTAATCATAGTGTAAAGTAAGTACTAATTTCAAATATACAACTGTGATATTCTCGTCATTTCACTATCTTTTATCGACAGGTTCTATATAGTCAGATTTAGCTAAAATTAATGTATGAAGTGTTACAGTGACAGTGTTGTTGAAATATTCCCGACGTGATTCGAAATCTTAATTCGCTCACATTAAAGGCAGCTATAGCTCGACCTATCAGAGACCACCAATTGAGACATAAATTGGAGGTTCTAAACTTAGGGTACAATAAACACGTGAGTATGTATGCTGGAAAAGAATTCGCGTCAGTCGACATAGTAAAATGGAAAGATACAAAATTCAGTGAAAGTGGATTTGGTTTTCAGAAATACATTTGGGTGTGTTATTTGTTATATGTTAAATAGTAAATCTACACACTTACCCATAGGTTCATGGTTGAGTATTTGAACTATCAACACCTTGCACAATCCGGAGACAACTGCCCGAGAGAGTCCTTACACTACAGACGTCTGTCAGAGACTGGCCTATAACTTTAAACTACTTCCTGGTTTAATGTCACATACAGATTCAGGCAGGTCAGTTTGAACAAAAGAAGACCCCAACAGAGCTTTATTTTGAATACGTACATTGTAAATTATATCCGAAATAGCGTGAGTATCGTTGTGAATGCTATTATGGTCAGTTTGTTAATGTTTGTCTGTGTGTCTAGTGGCCTCATTTCGTGCAAACTATTAACGACCAAACAATATTCGATTATTTAGTGTACGGCTTCTCGCGTTCCATATTTTTCAAATAGCCTTATAATCCATGTTCAGGTTGCGACACCTCATATTCAATAATTCGTTCCACATCACCAAATATTCCACATTCTTTCAACGTCACCTCATACTCCACATTGTGTCCACGTTACCCAGTATTCCACATTGTTCCCACGTTGGTAAAGTTTTCCACATTCTGTGCTCGTCTCAAGGTGAGTGAGTGAGGTTTTACGCCACTTTCAGCAATATCCCGGCAAAACGACGACAGGAAACCCATGTGGAGGATTGAACCATAGTATTCATAGAGAGAACGCTTTTACCACTAGGCTACCCCATCACCCCTATACGGATTAGAAGTACGTTTTGTATCGTAAAGTGTAAGCATGAAAGTATAGGAACGTGGCGGTCTTGATGGGAAGAAGCCAAACAAACTGCACTATCGCTGGTTATGGATCCGTAAAGCCAATAATGAAGTAAAACCATCTCTTTGATAATATTAGTTACACGGCTTATTACCAGATATTCAAAGATGCTTCTCCACATGATCAAAGGCGCCGACAGCACCTTATCTGATGATAAAGTACACTTTTTGCGTTACGTCTGTGCATTTGCCACTCCACTGGCGTCACCAGGCCATTCTAGTCTGCCCCCTCGTAATCAAAACGTACTCCTGTAAACCGACGTCACGATGTAGTCCATGATCCAGATGAGATTTCACCACCAAATTGAGGGGCAAACAGCCACTATGATTTTCATATAGCTTAAGGTATGCAGTTTATGGAATCACGTGATGGACACCCCCATGCCAGGCTAAATCGCCATTTTCTTGAATCCGACCATCTGTCTAAAAAACTATGCTACAGCTGAAACTAAGCATAAGACATATAATTGTGCGGTGAAATGTGTTCAGTATTCAATTTCCCACATTTTGATATGTAATCTGTGGGGGTTCAGCATGATTATTTTTGTATAATTAGGAAAAATGTATGAAAAAATACGATTTCCCCCTAAAATGCAGATATTTTGTTAATTTCTGTCAGTTGTCATTGCCTTGTGTAGTCTCCTTCAGTGACAGTACAACTCTTTTTAGCATCTATTTTCTTGATTTGCAATTTCTTAACTCGTGTAATATCACTGGTCGAAACAATAGGTTTAACTTTTCGAAGGAAAACATGTCTCGGGTCGATTCACAATTAAACAGCGACAGTCACACTAAACCTATGTCAACAGTCCCACAATGCATCTGTGGTATGTCGCGTGACAAGTCAGCTTATCTGGATTTACTGCCCTAAATTTACGTGCGACGTTCAAATTGTCCTATATGGTTTACGATAAAGATATCACGATAAAGGTGCCTCACGATATGATAAGTATTGCGATACTGAGTTCACGATACAATACGTATCTCGATAGTGAGGTCACGATACGATATGTAGATACGTATCGTAATAAGGAAAGGATCATGAACAGTGACAGATTCAAACACACACGTGCCTTTGTGCACATAACGGCTCCTCTGTTTCCCATCGTGTGTTTTCTCTGACGACCAGGACGTCGTCATATGAGCGAAATATTCTCAAGCACGACGTTAAACCCAATTTCACCTCACCTCACCTCTGACGACCAGGCTTGCTTGCTTTGTAGATTTTTACGTGCGCTTTCCGAGATGTTGAATATTTTACACACGACCTGACGATATATTGAGTGAGGGAGTGAGTGAGTATGGTTTTACGCCGCTTTTAGCAATATTCCAGCAATATCACGGCGGGGGGCACCAGAAATGGGCTTCACACACTGTGCCCATGTGGGGGATTCGAACCCGGGTCTTCGGCGTGACGAGCGGACGCTTTAACCACTAGGCTACCCCACCGCCCCGACGATATATTGATACATAAGCCAACTTCACGGGTTTAAGAAGGATTCATTCTACCCGTAAAACTTAAGTGTACTATTCCCTATGCATTGGCTTTTCACCAATAAGAAAATACCTCTTATTTATCTAATAGGTAATAAGCGTTGATATCGCTTAGAATAAACGTCATATTGTTAGACAATTCTGATTGCGGTATTAAATAACAAACCAAAAATGATATTGCTACAGAACAGCTACATGACGCTACAAATATTACATCTATGACCAAAGTGGTTTTATGAATGAACCACAAACGCAGGTAGCGTTTACGATGTCAGTTTAATGGCAGAATAAATCGAAGAAATAATACAGTACGATATGATGTTCTACATATGTATTTATGTATATGTCATGAAAATTGATGTTAACCTTAGAAACCCACTTGAGTGCATAACATAAATATTCACAGTAAAATATCAAACACCCTCACCTGAACATGTATACTAACGGAAAAAAGTTATTTGAATGTTATAAAAATAACTCTAAATAAACATATAGCAAAGCGCTTTGCATGAAATTTGATGTCACGTATCGCGTTGGCACGTGCACAATGAACTTATTCAGCTTCTGCGTGCTTTTTGACACCTGAAGAAGTGGAATATACGTTAATATCAACCTAAACTGCGCGTACGTCAGGCCACGCCTTACAGAAAATCAGCGTCTCCGCGCCCTGGGTATGCTGGAGACCATTTTGGCCTTTTGGTGTCGATCGAAACACGATCTCATTTCTATGGAGACGTTTTCAACATAATGGGAACACGAAAGATTTGCCTCGGACCGGCCGTCCACGCGTGTTGTCACGTCAGGAGACAAGATTGGGATGGTATTTTGTTCCCTGACGAGACGATATTGCATCTGGACAGTTCAGATGGCAGGGCAAGGGTGTACAGACGGCGAAGTTAACGGTATGCTGATACGTGCATTGTTTAACATCGACAGTTTGGTGGCGAAGAGTTATGATATGGGGAGACGTCACATCTCCTGATTGAACACAACTTGACATTGTCATCCGTTCATTCAAGAACATTAACTTCACGCATCAGCAAGATAATGCCCGTCAACATATCGCTCATGTTGTGACAGATTTCCTGAGACAGCAGAACACTCTGGTACTCCCCTGGCCAACTGTTTCTCCGTACCTGTCCCTTATCGAGCAAACAAAATCAGCCATTGACGTTAACTGAATCGGGACAAGCGTTGGTTAAGACATGGAACAGCATTCCCCAAGCGTTTCTCTTGGGGAGAATTTGTGAAATGAATTTGTGAACTGACTATTGACACCACATCTCTTCAAGAGCATGTCACAATGCCTAGTGTCAAATCATACAGATTTCGATATTATATTGTCAACAGTTAAACAGTAATTACGGAAAACACCACAAATCATATTATTATCGTTTTGCATTAAAAATGGCAAATCTTATGTTCGTGTAAAAGCCAATGACCTATATACAGAGAAAGTACCTATTTACATATTTCAGTAGTACTTCACTCCGCACATATTTCTGCTGAAATTATTCCAGCATTTTTTTAACCTTTGTCTCATTTCATGAGTTTGAGATCAGTCAGTATTTCCATATCAGTTTTCTGATGTATAAAATATTGATTTTAATCACTTACCTCATATTACGGTTATTCATATATACATAGTTAGATGTGTAACTTTAGTTCACAAATAAATACACAATTTACTAAAAACTAATCTGAATAATCCAGGTGTTATTTGCACAGTGGTTTTTTGAGGAGAGTTTTACAACAAAGGTCTTGACGAAAGCTCCTCATTTTTCAGAAATGTCTGCTCAAAATGTGAAGTTAATCTCATTTAATTTAGTTGCACCCGTTTTAGCAACAAACTCAACAGCTATTGTCCGGACTCACTCACTCACAAACCTTGAGATACAAGTATTGTATATATTGTCATACTCCTATATACAACAAGCTCTAGATCGGAAGAAAAAACAGTGTGTTAAAGAACAGAAAATGTTGAAATATGCATAGAAATGTACACTTTAAAATAGGTGACTCCGATGAATCATCACATTATAATCTACGTATTGCCCGCTCGAGATTCTGCCAGAACACTTCTTGACCATCCTGATCATCCGTGTACTCTACATAGGAATCTTGACGCATCAACATCATAATGTGAGGGGTCAGGTCCTTCACAGGGATGTTCTCCAGTACAACAACCAGCAGGGTGTTCCGTCCCGTGAAGATACTCTCCATCTTAGCCATCTCCACTTCGTACTTCACACCAGTAGCTCTTCAAGAAGTGTCTTGACAGGACAATCACCGTCTTCCTGCTGGATTTCACGGCGTTCAGGATGTTGGCAGCGATAGCTTCCCCAACGAGAAAGTCTCGGTGATGAATACAGAGCTTTAGACCTTGCATCTCTTCAAGCCTCTGCCTCATGTTCCTAACTACAAGTCCACGGTCCTCATCAGCGTAGGATATGAAGGCATCAAACTCGAACTCCTCTTCCTCCTCTTTTACAAGCAGGTAGCCTCTGTGTCGGTTTCGGGCAACGTAGTAGAGGTCCCTCAGTTTCCACCTGTATCTGTACACGATGCTTGTCACGGCAAATGTCAGGACCAGCATGATGACACTGAGCATCCCAATCACCACCCCAGTGTAGGATGCACAGCTCTTCTCCAGTTCCATTATGATGTCTTGTAGGTTGCTCATGTTTTTCTGGCCACCATTTGACCCTGTACAGAGTAGATCTTGAACATCATAAACACTACTTCGTTTAATGTCCAGCCACTTCAAGAAGCTCAGTGTCTCACATGTACATTTTCATGGGTTTTTATGAAGCCTCATTTTCATCCCATTGCTCCCATTGTCATCAATCTGTTTTCTAAAGGTTACATCAAGCTGCTCAAAGAGATTATCGGAGAGATCTAAAAGTTCCAAGTTTATCAGGTCCCCAATGTTGGCATTCCATGTATTCAAAAAGTTGGACCCAACACTCAAGTACTGAAGATTTTCTAAGCCCCTAAAAACGTCCCTTGGAACTGTACTCAGTTTATTATTTGATAGATCCAGGTGTTCGAGCTTGAATAGTTTACGAAATGTTTCATTATGTAATGTGTAGCCAAGATAATTGAAGCTTATGTTCAGTATTCTCAACAAAATGAAATCATCAAAGAAGTGTGTGTTTATAAAATCAAAATAATTGTGTGATCCATCAAGGAATTCTTGATGATGAAACCCAACAACTGGTCCAACCCACCGAGTAAAGAAATTATATGACACATCCAAAATCTTTAGTCTATTTTTACCAAATCTCATTCCAGGAATGGTGTAACTCAGTTTCTCGTTGCTGAAGTTTGCATGTGTTTGCATTCGCGGGGATATTTATGGTGAAATTACGGGGCCACGGTATGTCACCAGTAGAATTATCTTTAAATGGAGAAATATCATGTTTCGTAGAGTTGGTGACATGACAGTGGACACCAGGACCACCACCAGCCACATGGGTATCCCAAGTCCAACTTGAAAGTAGTTATCTTTGTTTATAAATAATTTCTTCGCAGGTATAACTGACAGCTTTCACGGTATAATTCTAACAATGTAAGTCTGTGTTAATGAATCACTATCAAACTGTGATGAAACTTGGTGTTGGTACAAATGTGAATCCTGCACCACCTGTGGCACCCGTCACAAGTATATATAAGGGCAAGTAAATTGCTCACCTGAACAAACTTGGTAATAGTCAAAATAGGGAAATGGCTTGAACGTTTTACAAAGCTCACAGAGGCTTTGCATATTATATTGTGTCATGCATCAAATCTGAAATTGTACTGCGTATGACTTGGCTTAAAATGTTGTTACCAGAGTCGTATGGTATTAAATGCTCGTTTGTATTGTGACATTTGTGTAATGTAGACACTAAAAGCTGGAGCTGATAGATGATTGCTCGAAGACTTGTCTCATTTATTGAATCTCGGAATAGTTTTTGGATCGCTGTGACTCATTTTTCATCGACCTAGATATGAAGCATACTAGGCACTTTAAATGGTTTCATTCTTTTATCTATGTATCCATTGAATACTCGTTATGTTCGGGTGGGAAAATCAGCAAAGGGTTGGATAGTGATTTAAAGGGGTTGGGTGGGAGTTAGTTGAGGGCACAATCTATGCCCATTGGATTCATAATTCATATTTTTAAACCTGTATGTAATTATAAAGAGTGCCCTTCCTTGGTTGTATGAAGGATTTGGGTTAATACATTTGTTGAATCTGGCAATACTGAATGTCTCTCTTTTCTAGATCTTTGGAATTCAGCAAGATGAGGCATTGACGGAACTTTCCACATGAAGGTTAAACCAACAGTTGATAGTGCTGATTTCTTCGTTAGTTAAGATACATTTTATTTGATTTGTTCTGTCTCTAAAGAAAGGAATGTTATGGGCAAACCTTCTACAGTGCAACTACTCCTAAACAGCTAAGGATTCTGATCTTAGGGCTAAGGTGATCGTGACTCCATACTTTGATATTGGTCTATTGGTAGTCGTACCACTAAGATCGCTTTTGATTGGAACGGCACCCAGGTGTCTTGATTTGGCAAAGAAAGGAATGCAGGCAAGGTCAACACCACAACCATAATGAGGTGAGTGATACTTTAATATTGGTCTATTGGTAGTTACCACTAAGATTGGCAATATTCACACCATAATGAGTGAGTGAGTTTAGTTTTACGCCGTAATTCCAGTGATATCACGGCAGGCTTCACAGATTGTACCCATGTGGGGAATCGAACCCGGGTCTTCGGCATGACGAGCGAATGATTTAACCACGAGGATATCCCACCACACTACCATAAAGAAGTGTTGTGCACAAGGAACTGAATACTGTATACACTGTGTCATCCTATAATCATTCATCCGTGATCACGATGGGTAAAACCAAGGACTGCAATTGTTTCCTTGCACGAAAGCTACCTTTCCTGTGGTGTAACAAGAGAGTATGCTCGGTGTGTCAGACAATGAAGTGGGGTTATTTTTGGGTATTACATATCTCGCCGTTGTCATTCGCTTCTTTGTTGCCTTCAGACAAGAGGAAGAATATCAGGACAATCTGAAATCCAATGCCTTTTAACAAAAGAACAAGAGAATTCCCCAGTAAGGTTTTTTAGCTTCAATTTGAGTTGAGTATCTCATGGCACATTCCATCACAATGAATACTATTGCGTGGCTACGTCCAAGAAGGGCCTTTTTAATGTCAGTTCACATTTATTGCATTTTTAAGGAAATTGAGTTGACTGATAAATTGTGGTGAAATACAGGTTGTAAATAGTAAGTAAAATTATAATCTGGATATGCTAAGTAATAAGGAAGATATTCAAGAGCCTGTACCTTCAAAGCTTTGTTTGTTTGTTGTTTAACGAAATGCTCAGCAATATTCCAGCTATTCGGTTTCCAGCGACGGTTTGTAAATAATCGAGCGTGGACCAGACAGATATCAAACATGAGCATCGATCCATACAACAGTAACACGATGACGATGCGTCAACCAAGTCAACGACTCTGACCACTCGATCCCGTTAGTCGGCTCTTATGATAAGCATGTGCTGCTGATGACCAATTCTAAGCCGAACCTTCAAAGAATGTTGAAGTACTGTTAGATAATTGTGCCCCGGACACAGTATTTCAGCGAGCCTGACCACCCCATCCTGTTAGTCGAACCTTGAAAGAGTTTTAAAGTACTGTTGGAAAATTGTGTCCCGCAGATGGTATTTCGGTTCCACTTCAAAATACGTTCCTCCCCTCTGAGAATTTTCATCACAACATAGGAATGAAATTTCATTGTTAAGCTTAGATCTAGAGATCTAGCCAAGGAGAGTGAACCCAAGAATGTGTGAGACTAACAATAAAGATTGAAGTACATAAATTGCAGGTCCTAAACTTAGGGTTTAGTAAACACGTGTATGCTATAAAAGAATTTGCACATGTCAGCCAAACACCAAGTAAAGTAAATGCTAAGTTCAACTACACAACTGTGATAATTCGTCATTTTACTATCCTTTATGGACGGGTTCTATGTAGTCAGATTTAGGTAAACTTAATATATGAAGTGTTACATTCACAATGTGGTTGAAATCTTCCCGACGTGATTTTCAATTTTAATTCGCTCACATTAAAGACTGGATCAATCAGAGACGCCAATTCAGACATAAATTGGAGGTTGTAAACTAAGGGTACAATAAACACGAGAGTGTGTGTGCTAGAAAAGAATTCGCGTCAGTCGACATAGGAATATTGATACAAAATCACTGAAATTAAGTTGGGTTTCCAGAAGTGAATAAGGGTGTGTTATTTGTTATTGTTAAATAGTAAAGGTATATACTTACCCAGAGATTCATTGTTGAGTATTTGAACTATCAACACCCTGCACAATCCGAAGACAACTGCCCGAGAGAGCCCTTACACTACAGACGTCTGTCAGAGACAGGCCTGTACCTGTAAACTACTTCCTGGTACATTGATGTGATGAATTCAATGAGGAAGGTTAAACGAACACAAACAATGAAAGACTTTTTTGCTATGACATTAAATGCTTATTTGTTTTATCCAGATTCGTGTCGTTTTGAACTTGGGTCTTGATTCAGAAGTCCGGACGATTCGCAATCCGGGCGAATTTGCTGAGAAACGCAACCGTCCGGATTAACGAGGCTTCACTGTATACAGATTCACCCAGGTCTATTTGAACAAAACAAGCACCCCACAGTGCTTTATTTGAATGAATACATTGAAAATTTACTTTTTTTTACATCCGAAATTGCGAGGATATCGTTGTGAATGATATTAAGGCATATTATGGTTTGTGAATGTTTCCCCCCAAAGTAGTAGCCTCATTTCGTGCAAATTATAAACGCCCAAACAATATTCGAATATTCAGTGTACGGCTTTTCGCGTTCCATATTCCATATAAGTCGCCTTAGAATCCATGTGCAGGTTACGAACACTGTGTCCACGCCAATTCACATTCCACATTCTGCCCACCCATATTCCACATTCTGCCCACCCCACCTCATATTCCACATTCTGACCACCCAACCTCATATTCCACATTCTGCCCACCTCACCTCATATTGCACATTCAGACCACCCAACCTCATAATCCACATTCTGCTCACCCTGCCACATATTCTACATTCTGACCACCCAACCTCATAATTCACATTCTGCCCATCCCACCTGATATTGCACATTCTGACCACTCCACCTGATATTGCACATTCTGGCCACCCCACCTCATATTCCACATTCTGCCCATCCAACCTCATATTCCACATTCTGACCACCCCACCTCATATTCCATATTCTGACCACCCCACCTTATATTGCACATTCTGACCACCCCCCTTCATATTGCACATTCTGACCACCCACCTCATATTCCGCATTCTGCCCACCCCACCTCATATTCCACATTCTGCTCATCTCACCTCATATTGAACATTGTGTCCACGCCATTTCACATTCCACATTCTGCCCACCCCAGCTCATATTCCACAATCTGATCACCCCACCTCATATTCCACATTCTGCTCTCTACCTCATATTCCACACCTCATATTCCACATCTCATATTCCACACACCCCACCTCCACACATTCCACACCTCCACCTCATTCTCTCCACATTCTGACCACCCCACCTCATATTCACACATTCTCACCTCATATTGAACATTCACTCCCACCTCATATTCACATTCACATTCTCACCCTCCACATTCTGCCCACCACCATTCATATTGCACATTCTCCTCATCTCACCTCATATTGAACATTGTGTCCACGCTAATTCACATTCCACATTCTGCCCAACCCCACCTCATATTCCACATTCTGCCCACCCCACCTCATATTCCACATTCTACTCTCTACCTCATATTCCACATTGTGCCCATCTCCACATTCTGCCCACGTCATTCTCCACATTCTGCCCACCCTCATCTTCATATTGCACATTCTGACCACCCCACCCTCATATTCCACATTCTGACCACCACACCTCATATTGCACATTCTGCCCACCCCACCCACCTCATATTGCACATTCTGACCACCCCACCCTCATATTCCACATTCTGCCCACCCCCCTCACCTCATATTCCACATTCTGACCACCACACCTTTTATTGCACATTCTGCCCACCACCCTTCATATTGCACATTCTGACCACCCAGCCCATATTCCACATTCTGCCCACCCCACCTCATATTCCACATTCTGCCCACCCCACCTCATATTCCACATTCTGCCCACCCCACCTCATATTCCACATTCTGCCCACCCAACCTCATATATTGAACAATTCACATTCCTAATTCTGCCCACCCATATTCCACATTCTGCCCACCCCACCTCATATTCCACATTCTGTCCATCCCACCTCATATTCCACATTCTGCCCATCCCACCTCATATTCCACATTCTGCCCACCCCACCTCATATTGCACATTCTGTCCACCCCACCTCATATTCCACATTCTGCCCATCCCACCTCATATTCCACATTCTGCCCATCCCACCTCATATTCCACATTGCCCACCAACTCATATTAACATTCTGATCAGAGAAACATGTTTACTTGTACGGTCAACTGTCAACCATGAAGGTATAGACAAATTATTGACTGTTTCGATTGGGAAGAAGGCAAACAAATTGCAGTATCGTTAGTTATGGATCCTTGAAAAGCCAATTTCAAAGTTAAACCATCTCTTTAAAACAATATTAGTTACACGGCTATTTTCCAGATAGTCGCTGCTTCGATTAATTTATCCGTTTGAAATATTTTCTCGTTACTTCAAGTTTCTATCAAAACTTGCCATATGTTCTCGTTCGTTGTCAAGTTTCTGTCAAAACTTGAAATTTCACGCATTTACTCGTTGCTTCAAGTTTCTGAAAGAAAGTTGAAGGAACGAGAAAAATACTCGAAGTAAGGAGTAAATAATACATTTAGCAGAAAAAATTCTTTGAACAAAACACAGCATTAGACTTTCGTAACGCAGTCACAGGTAAGCACTGTCGATATATTTGAACTTTTCCTCATAAAAAAATGCAGAATTCCCCAGGTGAGTTGGATTTCTGTGCCAAAAGTTGCAAACGGTCAAGGCCGTCCATATCACCCGTTAGAACAAGGTTAAGATGCATTCGTCACCACTCGCACGTTTCATAACCACCATTCAACCTTACCCGTAACCTCCAGGAACATTCGCATAACGGCTCCAATGCTTCCCATCGCGTGTTTTCTCTGACGATCCTACTTGCTTGCTTTCCACATGTTTGCGTGGGCTTGCCGACATGATGTATATTTTACGCACGATCCAGTTTGTTTTTTTGTTTTACGCCGCACTCAGCAATTATTCAGCTACATGGCGGCGGTCTGTAAATAATCAAATTTACACCAGACAATCCAGGGGTCGACAGCATGAGCATCAATCTACGCAACTGGGATATGATGACATGGGTCAACCAAGTCAACGAGCCTGACCATCCGATCCCGTTAGTCGCCTCTTACGACAGGCATGGGTTACTAAAGACCAGTTCTAACCTTGATCTTCACAGGTAACACACGACCTGACATTGTATTATATTAATTGCATATTCAACCATGAAAATAACAAACCGTTTTCAGAAAAATACATTTTGAAATCAAATAGTTAAGCAATATGTTCATAACGTTATCATAACAATTATCAGTCTTGTTATTTAATACAGCTTAAAATCTGTTCATAAAACAAATGTTTCGGTGATGTTTTTCTTGTTGGAAATAAACCGAAATAGCGTTATTAGTTTTGTTTGAAGTAGTTCTGATGTTCATACACCAATATAAAACCTTTCCAGAAGGGCACGCATTCTGGATCAGTTCCGAAATGACACGAGTTGGTCACAAATGGATGAGATGACTTATACTTTGGAATAATACTGAGTGCTGTGTTAAACAACAAACCCAACTTAATCTTGCTACAGAACAGCTACATGACGCTGAAACTATTACATCGTAAGTGATTTTGTGAATGAACCACAAACGCATTTTGTGTTTATGATGTCAGTTTAATGGGAACATCTATGTCTCTATATAAATACTCACAATAATACAAGGAGAATACATGATATACATATATAAATACACACAATAATACAAGGAGAATACATGATATACATATATAAATACACACAATAATACAAGGAGAATACATGATAATTGATGTTAACCTCAGGACTTAGTTAAGGATTTAAGTAGGAATTGACATAATACACTTACTACTATACACGCTCCATGTTGTGTACTATGAAAATGCACATACAATACATATATAAATACACCCAATAATACAAGAATACATGATATACATGTATAAATACACACAATGATACAAGGAGAATACATGATATACACATATAAATACACACAATAATACAAGGATGAAAGGAATATAGTTAATCCATGCTTTTAACAGTTCATTTCTTAAAGATAAAGCATGTTTTACATATATGGCAAGTTGAAGAATAACGGTTTCATTATTTCAGGATAAAATTGACACAATTTGAAAACAGATAGTAGCTTCATACTGTCTTTGGCATAGTCTGTGATCATTAATTCTTCAAAATAATAATACAATGTCTTATTGAATGGTGCATTTATCAATGTCTCCATGAGTATTATTGCCAGAAATGATATAGACAAAGGTTCGTCTTTACACGATTTGTTTGGTTGTACAGTCAACAAACTATCGCAAAGAAGGGACATTAGCATTAAACTTTACTATTTCCTATGCATTATTCAATAGGATTTGGGATCAAATTAGACGTTACTGAAATACTCAAGTGGTATCTGAAAAGAGTTTTCCAGAATACAAAGATCTTGACAAAAGGTAATCCTTTTGCAGAAATGTCTGCTCAAAATGTGAATTAAAACTCACTTAATTTAGTTGCACCCGTTTTATTTACAAACTCAGGACTTGAAAATACCTTTAGTCCGAACTCACTCACTCACAAACTTCGAGATACAAGTATTGTACTAAATACAACTACAAATATAGCTATATTGCTATACTCGTATCTACAAAAGTACAAAAACTCATGAACTTTTACCTTATCAAATAACTTCTAGTTCAGTAGACAAAACACTAGGTAAAAGAGTAGAAAATGCTGGCATGAGAATACAAATGTACACTTTAAAGCTGGTGACTCCACAAATCGTCGCATTTTTCTTTTTCTATAAGCTACGTATTGCCCGCTCGAGATTCTGCCAGAACACTTCTTGACCATCCTGATCATCCGTGTACTCTACATAGGAATCTTGACGCATCAACTCCACAATGTCAGGGGTCAGGTCCTTCACGGGGATGTTCTCCAGTACAACAGCCAGCAGGGTGTTCCGTCCTGTGTAGATACTCTCCATCTTAGCCATCTCCACTTCGTACTTACACCAGTAGCTCCTCAAGAAGTGTCTTGACAGGACAATCACCGTCTTCCTGCTGGATTTCACGGCGTTCAGGATGTTGGCAGCGATAGCTTCCCCAGCGAGAAAGTCTCGGTGATGAATACAGAGCTTTAGACCTTGCATCTCTTCAAGCCTCTGCCTCATGTTCCTTACTACAAGTCCACGGTCCTCATCAGCGTAGGATATGAAGGCATCAAACTCGAACTCCTGTTCCTCCTCCTCTACAGGCAGGTAGCCTCTGTGTCGGTTTCTGGCAACGTAGTAGAGGTACCTCAGTTTCCACCTGTATCTGTACACGATGCTTGTCACGGCAAATGCCAACACCAGCAAGATGAGACTGAGCATCCCAATCACCACCCCAGTGTAGGATGCACAGCTCTTGTCCAGTTCCATTATGATATCTTGTAGGTTGCTCATGTTTTTCTTGCGACCATTTGACCCTGTACAGAGTAGGTCTTGAACATTGTATACTCTGCTTCGTTCACTGTCCAGCCACTTCAAGAAGCTCAGTGTCTCACATGTACATTTCCATGGGTTTTTATGAAGCTTCATTTTCAGTCCTTTGCTCCCACTGTCATCAATCTGATTTCTAAAGGTTACATCAAGCTGCTCAAAGAGATTATCGGTGAGATCTAAAAGTTCCAAGTTTATCAGGTCCCCAATGTTGGCATTCCACGTATTCAAATAGTTGGACCCAACACTCAAAAACTGAAGACGTTCTAAGCCCTTAAAAACGTCTCTTGGAAGAGTACTCAGTTTATTATTTGATAGATCCAGGTATTCGAGCTTGAATAGTTTACGAAATGTTTCATTATGTAATGTATAGCCAACGTAATTGAAGCTTATGTTCAGTATTCTCAAAGATATAAAATCATCAAAGAAGTGTGGGTTTACATAATCACAATAATTGTGTGATCCATCAAGGAATTCTAGATGATGAAGCCCAATAACTGGTCCAACCACCGTGTAAAGAAATTATATGACACATCCAAAACCATAAGTCTGTTTTCACCAAATTTCATTCTGGGAATGGTGTAACTCAGTTCCGCATTGCTGAAGTTTGCATATGTTCCTTTCGGGGGAATATTTATGGTGAAATTACCTGGCCATGGTGCGTCACCAATAAAAACATCTTCAAGTGGAGAAAAATATTGTTTTATAGAGTTTGATACAGAACTTTCCAAAGCTCGTGAAGTGTCGCCATGAGTCATATGAGGGCTGGCGTCTAAATCAGTGAGGAAAGAATCAAGCTGTACTGAAAATGGATTAGTGTGGGACATGTGACCCGACGAAGCATCCACAAACTGGAGGTTGGTCATAGATGTTAGTGTTAGAATATACAAACCAAACAAAAACATGTTTTTTCGCAATGAAAGAACTTTCAGGGTTTGTGGCATTAGGACGGGTACTCGAGGATCCAGTAATTCTATCCGGTTGTCATCCAAATGTAATTCTTCAAGGACCATACCAGACATGTATTTAATGTGTTCCACAGTTACGAGAAGGCCGATACCTCGATATCTGTACAGTTTATTGGCTCTTAGAATTTTCAGTGAAGAATTACGAAGACCGTAAAAACTTGCAGAAACCTTGTCAAATCCAAGATCGGAATTTCGGGATATGTCTAACATGTGAATGTTTTGGAGAGGTTCAAATGCAGATTGACCAATATCAGTTATTTCACAATCTGTCATGTCTAAGTGTGTTATTCTCTTTAAATAGCGGAATGTTTCATTCAACACGTCCCTCATGTTGCAGTTTCCTCCAATCTTTAGTGTCGTGATGTTGGTGTATTTAAATCCTTCTCCAAACGTTCGATTTCTCAGCCCATCAATGTGAAGTTCCTCAAGGGAAACCAGATCCTGCAAAGTTTCATCTGGGTACTGGAGTAAATAGATTTCTGCTTGTGAATTATCAAGTTGTCCTTCAAATTCTACCGGAGAATTATTTTCCATTTTCAAAACCTTCAGTTTCTTCTGGAACCGGAACAGTCCTTTTGGATAAACACTTTTACACAAAGATAGATGATTATGGCTAAGCACTAGAACGTGTAAATCTGTTAGCTCAACAAAATCGTTTCTCCTAAGCATGTAGAGTTTGTTGAATGACACATCCAGGCGTTTTAAAGAGGTATACTTCTTCAGTTGTTTACCAATATTTGTCATTCTGTTATGACTCAGACTCAGCTCTGTGATATTGTATGGGAGGTGACCGGGAACTGATGGTAACGATCTGTTTGAACAATCCGCAATGACTTCATCCTTTGTTTCAAAACAACTGCAAGGGTGGCAATCAAGCGATGATCCATCTGCTGACACCAGGACCACCATCAGCCACATGGGTATCCCAAGTCCACTCTGAAAGTAGTTAATAGTTATCATTGTTAATAGACAGTTTTATATTTCTAACACAATTCTAACAATCTAAATCTTGTTAATGAATCACTATCAAATTGTGATGAAATTTATTGTTGACAAAAATGTGAATCCTGCACCATCGGTGGAACCCGTCACAAGCATGTATAAAGGCAACTAAATTGCTCACCTAAAAAAACATGGGTAATAGTCAAAACAGGGAATTTTCTTAAACGTTTTACAAACCTTACGGAGGCCCTGCATGTTGTGTGTTATGTCATGCATCAAATCTAAAATTGTCCGCCCTATGTCTTCCACAAAACTGTTAAAAGCTCATCAACGGCCTTGAATGTTGTAACCAGAGTTGTATGGTAGACAATGCGTGTTTGTATTGCGAAACTTGTGCAATGTAGACACTAAAAGCTGGAGCTGATAGAATACTGCTCGACAAAAGAGGAATTTTGAAGACATTTCTCAGTTCTTGAATCCGGATAGTTTTTGGATCGCTGTGGATCATTTTTGATCGATCTAAATATGAAGCATACTTGCCTGTTTAGCTGGTTCCATTATTTTAGTATTGATTATGATCAGGTTGGCCAATCAGTGAGCTAATAGGATTCATAATTCACATCTTTAAACCTGTATGTAATTATATAAATTGCCCTTCCTTGGTTGAATGAAGGATTTGGGTTAATACATTTGTTGAATCCAGGAATACTGTATGTCTCCTCTTTAATAGATCTTTGAAATTCAGCAAGATGAGACATGAAACTTTCCATCTGAGCGTCAAGCCAACAGCTGATAGTGCCGATTTCTTCCTTAGTTAAGATACATACCTTACGTTTGCTAAAACATACAGTAGCGTTGCTTACATGTAATGGTTATGTCCTTAGTGGAAGCATCTACAAGTACATGATTGCCATTTATGCACGTAAATGTGTTGTGAAATACCATGTCCTGCACACGTGTGGCACAGGCACAAACAGATGTTAATTGCTATGGTGCTACATCGGTATTGATATATGTCCCTTGTACGTTTTGTATTGGCAAACCTTTCGGGGTTTGGAAAAGCCTTTCTGCAAGGACAATAGTACTCGTAAATATCGTAAGGCATAATAGATTCCAAGTGCAAGAAAGGAACTTTTTTTCAACTTCCATTATGATTCAGTTTTCTATGTCTTCAAAGCCTTTGATAATGTCCTTTTGGAAAAGTAGACATAATGAATCTTTCTTCATTGCAATTATGAAACACACATGGGGTTTAGAAATTAAAGTTGATTAGTCCTGTCTCAAAGAAAAAAATGCTGGCAAACTTTCTAAACTGTAACTACTCCTAAACAGCTCAGGATTCTGATCTTAGGGCTAAGGTGATCGTGACTCCATACTTTAACATTGGTCTATTGGTAGTCGTACCACTAAGAACGCTTTGTGGAACGGCACCCAGGTGTCTTGTGGCAAGGTCAACACCACAACCATAATGAGTGAGTGAGTGAGTTTAGTTTTACGCCGCTTCTACCAATATTTCAGCAATATCACGGCAGGCTTCACACATTGTACCCATGTGGGGAATCGAACCCGGGTCTTCGGCATGACGAGCGAATGATTTAACCACGAGGATATCCCATACCACCACCACAGAGGTGTTGAGCACAGGGAACTGAATGCCGTATACACTGTGTCATCCTATAATCATTCATCCGTGATCACGATGGGTAAAACCAAGGACTGCAATTGTTTCCTTGCACGAAAGCCACCTTTCCTCAGGTGTAACAAGAGAGTATGCTCGGTTTGTCAGACAATGAAGTGGGGGTTATGTTTGTGTATTACATATCTCGCCGTTGTCATTCTCTTTGTTGTTGTCTTCAGACAAGTGGAAGAATATCAGGACAATCTGAAATCCAATGCCTTTTAACAAAAGAACAAGAGAATTCTTCAGCGTCTTTTCTTTAGGTTCAATTTGAGCTCAGTTTCTCATGGCAGATTCCATCACAATGAATATTATTGCGTGGTTACGTCTTCTTGACGTCAGCTCACATTTATTCTTGTTGTTTTTTTAAGGAAATTGAGTTGAACAATAAATTGTGATAAAATAAAGGTTGTAAATAGAAAGTGAAAGGATTTTTTAGATATGCAAAATAATAAGGAGATTATTAGTGCCTGTACCTTCAAAGATTTGTTTGTTTGTTGTTTAACAAAACACTTAATATTCCAGCTATTCGGTTTCCAGCGGCGGTTTGTACATATTCGGGTCTGGGCCAGACAGACCAAACATGAGCATCGATCCACGCAATTGGAATAAGATGACAAAATGTGTTGTTGTATTGTTAGAAAATTGTGCCCCGGAGATGATGCTTCGGATCCACTTCAAAATCAGTGTGTGAAATAGCCACTGGCCCGCTAGTAAAAATCCAGTCGGGCCAGGAAATCATCACAGTCACTGGCCCGACTGACTAGTGAATTTTCATGGGGTCATTTTGTAAATATATCACTCTCTCCGGCTTGATAAATTATAATACACTTTTAAATCATGCAAGATTATGGCCTGATACAAATGATCATCATGTTAGCAGCTTCATGATGAAACCAGTGTCTACATTCAAATTTCGGACTTGTGAAATATTCTGTGGCATAGCTAGCCCGACTGTCCCAACTCTGGTTGCTGGTGATCAAAAGCCCATAACTTCATTGCATTGTTATGACTAATCATAGTGTAAAGTAAATACTAATTTCAAATATACAACTGTGATATTCTCGTCATTTCACTATCTTTTATCGACAGGTTCTATATAGTCAGATTTAGCTAAAATTAATGTATGAAGTGTTACAGTGACAGTGTTGTTGAAATATTCCCGACGTGATTCGAAATCTTAATTCGCTCACATTAAAGGCAGCTATAGCTCGACCTATCAGAGACCACCAATTGAGACATAAATTGGAGGTTCTAAACTTAGGGTACAATAAACACGTGAGTATGTATGCTGGAAAGGAATTCGCGTCAGTCGACATAGTAAAATGGAAAGATACAAAATTCAGTGAAAGTGGATTTGGTTTTCAGAAATACATTTGGGTGTGTTATTTGTTATATGTTAAATAGTAAATCTACACACTTACCCATAGGTTCATGGTTGAGTATTTGAACTATCAACACCTTGCACAATCCGGAGACAACTGCCCGAGAGAGTCCTTACGCTACAGACGTCTGTCAGAGACTGGCCTATAACTTTAAACTACTTCCTGGTTTAATGTCACATACAGATTCAGGCAGGTCAGTTTGAACAAAAGAAGACCCCCACAGAGCTTTATTTTGAATACGTACATTGTAAATTATATCCGAAATAGCGTGAGTATCGTTGTGAATGCTATTATGGTCAGTTTGTTAATGTTTGTCTGTGTGTCTAGTGGCCTCATTTCGTGCAAACTATTAACGACCAAACAATATTCGATTATTTAGTGTACGGCTTCTCGCGTTCCATATTTTTCAAATAGCCTTATAATCCATGTTCAGGTTGCGACACCTCATATTCAATAATTCGTTCCACATCACCAAATATTCCACATTCTTTCAACGTCACCTCATACTCCACATTGTGTCCACGTTACCCAGTATTCCACATTGTTCCCACGTTGGTAAAGTTTTCCACATTCTGTGCTCGTCTCAAGGTGAGTGAGTGAGGTTTTACGCCACTTTCAGCAATATCCCGGCAAAACGACGACAGGAAACCCATGTGGAGGATTGAACCATAGTATTCATAGAGAGAACGCTTTTACCACTAGGCTACCCCATCACCCCTATACGGATTAGAAGTACGTTTTGTATCGTAAAGTGTAAGCATGAAAGTATAGGAACGTGGCGGTCTTGATGGGAAGAAGCCAAACAAACTGCACTATCGCTGGTTATGGATCCGTAAAGCCAATAACGAAGTAAAACCATCTCTTTGGTAATATTAGTTACACGGCTTATTACCAGATATTCAAAGATGCTTCTCCAAATGATCAAAGGCGCCGACAGCACCTTATCTGATGATAAAGTACACTTTTTGCGTTACGTCTGTGCATTTGCCACTCCACTGGCGTCACCAGGCCATTCTAGTCTGCCCCCTCGTAATCAAAACGTACTCCTGTAAACCGACGTCACGATGTAGTCCATGATCCAGATGAGATTTCACCACCAAATTGAGGGGCAAACAGCCACTATGATTTTCATATAGCTTAAGGTATGCAGTTTATGGAATCACGTGATGGACACCCCCATGCCAGGCTAAATCGCCATTTTCTTGAATCCGACCATCTGTCTAAAAAACTATGCTACAGCTGAAACTAAGCATAAGACATATAATTGTGCGGTGAAATGTGTTCAGTATTCAATTTCCCACATTTTGATATGTAATCTGTGGGGGTTCAGCATGATTATTTTTGTATAATTAGGAAAAATGTATGAAAAAATACGATTTCCCCCTAAAATGCAGATATTTTGTTAATTTCTGTCAGTTGTCATTGCCTTGTGTAGTCTCCTTCAGTGACAGTACAACTCTTTTTAGCATCTATTTTCTTGATTTGCAATTTCTTAACTCGTCTAATATCACTGGTCGAAACAATAGGTTTAACTTTTCGAAGGAAAACATGTCTCGGGTCGATTCACAATTAAACAGCGACAGTCACACTAAACCTATGTCAACAGTCCCACAATGCATCTGTGGTATGTCGCGTGACAAGTCAGCTTATCTGGATTTACTGCCCTAAATTTACGTGCGACGTTCAAATTGTCCTATATGGTTTACGATAAAGATATCACGATAAAGGTGCCTCACGATATGATAAGTATTGCGATACTGAGTTCACGATACAATACGTATCTCGATAGTGAGGTCACGATACGATATGTAGATACGTATCGTAATAAGGAAAGGATCATGAACAGTGACAGATTCAAACACACACGTGCCTTTGTGCACATAACGGCTCCTCTGTTTCCCATCGTGTGTTTTCTCTGACGACCAGGACGTCGTCATATGAGCGAAATATTCTCAAGCACGACGTTAAACCCAATTTCACCTCACCTCACCTCTGACGACCAGGCTTGCTTGCTTTGTAGATTTTTACGTGCGCTTTCCGAGATGTTGAATATTTTACACACGACCTGACGATATATTGAGTGAGGGAGTGAGTGAGTATGGTTTTACGCCGCTTTTAGCAATATTCCAGCAATATCACGGCGGGGGACACCAGAAATGGGCTTCACACACTGTGCCCATGTGGGGGATTCGAACCCGGGTCTTCGGCGTGACGAGCGGACGCTTTAACCACTAGGCTACCCCACCGCCCCGACGATATATTGATACATAAGCCAACTTTACGGGTTTAAGAAGGATTCATTCTACCCGTAAAACTTAAGTGTACTATTCCCTATGCATTGGCTTTTCACCAATAAGAAAATACCTCTTATTTATCTAATAGGTAATAAGCGTTGATATCGCTTAGAATGAACGTCATATTGTTAGACAATTCTGATTGCGGTATTAAATAACAAACCAAAAATGATATTGCTACAGAACAGCTACATGACGCTACAAATATTACATCTATGACCAAAGTGGTTTTATGAATGAACCACAAACGCAGGTAGCGTTTACGATGTCAGTTTAATGGCAGAATAAATCGAACAAATAATACAGTACGATATGATGTTCTACATATGTATTTATGTATATGTCATGAAAATTGATGTTAACCTTAGAAACCCACTTGAGTGCATAACATAAATATTCACAGTAAAATATCAAACACCTTCACCTGAACATGTATACTAACGGAAAAAAGTCATTTGAATGTTATAAAAATAACTCTAAATAAACATATAGCAAAGCGCTTTGCATGAAATTTGATGTCACGTATCGCGTTGGCACGTGCACAATGAACTTATTCAGCTTCTGCATGCTTTTTGACACCTGAAGTTGTGGATATACGTTAATATCAACCTAAACTGCGCGTACGTCATGCCACGCCTTACAGAAAATCAGCGTCTCCGCGCCCTGGGTATGCTGGAGACCATTTTGGCCTTTTTGGTGTCGATCGAAACACGATCTCATTTCTATGGAGACGTTTTCAACATAATGGGAACACGAAAGATTTGCCTCGGACCGGCCGTCCACGCGTGTTGTCACGTCAGGAGACAAGATTGGGATGGTATTTTGTTCACTGACGAGACGATATTGCATCTGGACAGTTCAGATGGCAGGGCAAGGGTGTACAGACGGCGAAGTTAACGGTATGCTGATACGTGCATTGTTTAACATCGAGAGTTTGGTGGCGAAGAGTTATGATATGGGGAGACGTCACATCTCCTGATTGAACACAACTTGACATTGTCATCCGTTCATTCAAGAACATTAACTTCACGCATCAGCAAGATAATGCCCGTCAACATATCGCTCGTGTTGTGACAGATTTCCTGAGACAGCAGAACACTCTGGTACTCCCCTGGCCAACTGTTTCTCCGTACCTGTCCCTTATCGAGCAAACAAAATCAGCCATTGACGTTAACTGAATTGGGACAAGCGTTGGTTAAGACATGGAACAGCATTCCCCAAGCGTTTCTCTTGGGGAGAATTTGTGAAATGAATTTGTGAACTGACTATTGACACCACATCTCTTCAAGAGCATGTCAAAATGCCTAGTGTCAAATCATACAGATTTCGATATTATATTGTCAACAGTTAAACAGTGATTACGGAAAACACCACAAATCATATTATTATCGTTTTGCATTAAAAATGGCAAATCTTATGTTCGTATAAAAGCCAATGACCTATATACAGAGAAAGTACCTATTTACATATTTCAGTAGTACTTCACTTCGCACATATTTCTGCTGAAATTATTCCAGCATTTTTTTAACCTTTGTCTCATTTCATGAGTTTGAGATCAGTCAGTATTTCCATATCAGTTTTCTGATGTATAAAATATTGATTTTAATCACTTACCTCATATTACGGTTATTCATATATACATAGTTAGATGTGTAACTTTAGTTGACAAATAAATACACAATTTACTAAAAACTAATCTGAATAATCCAGGTGTTATTTGCACAGTGGTTTCTGAGGAGAGTTTTACAACAAAGGTCTTGACGAAAGCTCCTCATTTTTCAGAAATGTCTGCTCAAAATGTGAAGTTAATCTCATTTAATTTAGTTGCACCCGTTTTAGCAACAAACTCAACAGCTATTGTCCGGACTCACTCACTCACAAACCTTGATATACAAGTATTGTATATATTGTCATACTCCTATATACAACAAGCTCTAGATCGGAAGAAAAAACAGTGTGTTAAAGAACAGAAAATGTTGAAATATGCATAGAAATGTACACTTTAAAATAGGTGACTCCGATGAATCATCACATTATAATCTACGTATTGCCCGCTCCAGATTCTGCCAGAACACTTCTTGACCATCCTGATCATCCGTGTACTCTACATAGGAATCTTGACGCATCAACATCATAATGTCAGGGGTCAGGTCCTTCACAGGGATGTTCTCCAGTACAACAACCAGCAGGGTGTTCCGTCCCGTGAAGATACTCTCCATCTTAGCCATCTCCACTTCGTACTCACACCAGTAGCTCTTCAAGAAGTGTCTTGACAGGACAATCACCGTCTTCCTGCTGGATTTCACGGCGTTCAGGATGTTGGCAGCGATAGTTTCCCCAACGAGAAAGTCTCGGTGAAGAATACAGAGCTTTAGACCTTGCATCTCTTCAATCCTCTGCCTCATGTTCCTAACTACAAGTCCACGGTCCTCATCAGCGTAGGATATGAAGGCATCAAACTCGAACTCCTCTTCCTCCTCTTTTACAAGCAGGTAGCCTCTGTGTCGGTTTCGGGCAACGTAGTAGAGGTACCTCAGTTTCCACCTGTATCTGTACACGATGCTTGTCACGGCAAATGTCAGGACCAGCATGATGACACTGAGCATCCCAATCACCACCCCAGTGTAGGATGCACAGCTCTTCTCCAGTTCCATTATGATGTCTTGTAGGTTGCTCATGTTTTTCTGGCCACCATTTGACCCTGTACAGAGTAGATCTTGAACATCATAAACACTACTTCGTTTAATGTCCAGCCACTTCAAGAAGCTCAGTGTCTCACATGTACATTTCCATGGGTTTTTATGAAGCTTCATTTTCAGTCCATTGCTCCCATTGTCATCAATCTGATTTCTAAAGGTTACATCAAGCTGCTCAAAGAGATTATCGGAGAGATCTAAAAGTTCCAAGTTTATCAGGTCCCCAATGTTGGCATTCCACGTATTCAAAAAGTTGGACCCAACACTCAAGTACTGTAGATTTTCTAAGCCCTTAAAAACGTCCCTTGGAAGAGTACTCAGTTTATTATTTGATAGATCCAGGTGTTCGAGCTTGAATAGTTTACGAAATGTTTCATTATGTAATGTGTAGCCAAGATAATTGAAGCTTATGTTCAGTATTCTCAACGAAATGAAATCATCAAAGAAGTGTGTGTTTATAAAATCACAATAATTGTGTGATCCATCAACGAATTCTTGATGATGAAACCCAACAACTGGTCCAACCCACCGAGTAAAGAAATTATATGACACATCCAAAATCTTAAGTCTATTTTTACCAAATCTCATTCCAGGAATGGTGTAACTCAGTTTCTCGTTGCTGAAGTTTGCATGTGTTTGCATTCGGTGGAATATTTATGGTGAAATTACATGTTTCTTATAGGGCCACGGTATGTCACCAGTAGAATTATCTTTAAATGGAGAAATATCATGTTTCGTAGAGTTGGTGACATAATGTTTCATTCAACACGTCCCTCATGTTGCAGTTTCCTCCAATCTTCAGTGTCGTGATGTTGGTGTATTTAAATCCTTCTCCAAACGTTCGATTTCTCAGCCCATCAATGTGAAGTTCCTCAAGGGAAATTAGATCCTGCAAAGTTTCATCTGGGTACTGGAGTAAATTTATTTCTGTTTGTGAATTTTGGAGTTGTCCTTCAAATTCTACCGGAGAATGATTTTCCATTTTCAAAACCTTCAGTTTCTTCTGGAACCGGAACATTCCTTTTGGATAAACACTTTTACGCAAGAAAAGCTGATTATTGCTAAGCACCAGAACGCGTAACTCTGTTAGCTCAACAAAGTCGTTTCTCCTAAACATGTAGAGTTTGTTGAATGACACATCCAGGCGTTTTAAAGAGGTATACTTCTTCAGTTGTTTACCAATATTTGTCATTCTGTTATGACTCAGACTCAGCTCTGTGATATTGTATGGGAGGTGACCGGGAACTGATGGTAAGGATCTATTTGAACAATCTGCAATGACTTCATCCTTTGTTTGAAAACAACTGCAGAGGCTGCAATGAAGTGATGATCCATCTGCTGACACCAGGACCACCATCAGCCACATGGGTATCCCAAGTCCACTCTGAAAGTAGTTATCATTGTTATAAGTACAACAGTCTAGTAGACGTTTAGAGGGGAATGGGGGAGAGGAGGGAAGAGTTGTTAGGAGCAGGAGGGCAGTAAACGGGAATTGTCCAGCCATTATTGAACGAAATCTGATGCCTGTGATTTACAATTTTTGTCAGCTGCGTGGGTTTTTGCTCATATTCACTCCAGCAAACAAACCGAATGATCCAGTCCCGAATGCAAACACGTAAAGCCGCACTGTTATATTCATATGTGTAATTCATTTCTGAAGATCTCGGCATCAACATCCCAACGTTTATACTATAGAGGCTTTATTTGTGTTCTGTGCAGCTTTGCTTTCACTAAGGGTTTAAGTTCTTTGTGACAAAGACAAAGTCTGGGAACAAGATGAATCAACACCTAAAGAATAACGGAGTGAAAATGGTGATGTGGTGAGTGTTATACGACTTTATATCGATTGTATTGTTTTGTTTGTTTGTTTGTTGTTTGTCAAGATACGATCAAATGTCTCAACCTGACCACCCGATCCTGTCAGTCGCCTTTACAACAAGCATGGGTTGCTGAACACCAGTTTTAACCTAAAACTTTACAGCTCCTTACAGCATGTAACGAGAGCATGCGCGGATTGTGAGACAGTGAAGTGGATTACATGTTTGTGTAATACATGTCTAATTGTGGTAATTTCTTCCCACTTGCCTTCTGACAAGAGGGAGAGTGGGAGCAGTCTGAAAGCCAATGTATTGCAGTTTCTTATTGCAGTTTAAATGGTAAATGAGAGGGTTTAGTTTTACGAGGCTTTTAGCAATATTCCAGATTTTACAAATTCTACCCATGTGGGGAATCGAACCCGGGGCTTCGGTGAGATGGGCAAACACTTTAACCACTAGGCTAAAAAGCGGCGTAAAACTAAACATTTCTAATTATTGAAAGTTTAGAGTTATATGACAATCTTTCCACTGACCAGTACGACAGTGATTTTTTTTGGTTACCGTGCTCTGTCGGCATATTTGATACCACAAAATCTGATGCTGCAGCTACTGCATCTCTTGAAAAATCCGTCTCTACACTTTTGACACCATGCTATGATTTTAAACCCCAAATACAAACAAACTGGAACACCCGAGTAGATGTACACAAACTATGTAGATGAAATTCAACAAACTTTAGGTTATACCTACTTGTGGTGTCGATCAAGTAGTTAGTGCAATACACACACACACACATATGTGTATGCATGCGCGCGTGCGTGTGTGGTTAATAAGATAGGCATGTACTTACCCACAGCGTCATGATTGTGGATATCAGGGCGCGGAGCTGTCAGGGAAAGCTTTTAAACAACAGACGTGTATCAGAGATTGGCTTGCACCTGTTAATTACTTCCTGCTTTAGTGTTGGAGTCAAGTATGCCCGTCACACCTCACACATCTCAGTGTGAATGGATGCATTGTATGTTATCTCTCATTCCGGGCCGTAGACCCGGGTTCGATTCCCCACATTGGGACAATGTGTTAAGCCCATTTCTGGTGTCCCCCGCCGTGATATTGCTGGGATATATCTAAAAGCGGCGTAAAACAAAACTCACTCACTCATTCCGGGTACCGTTGCTGTGTATCTACAGTGGCCAGGTTCGTCCAAAGCAGTGACTCCTAAAATATCTGCTATGTTGTCCTCATAGTTGCCATAAGCCCCACCCCTCTACCCTGTCTCGTTGGTATTGCATGTGACACGAAAGCCATTATGGCAAAACATGCTGAGGGTTGTGGTCCACTGGAGTAATGACGCTTGTAAACCACAAAACAATGTCCACGTCACCCCATATTCCACAGAGTGTCCACGTCACCTCATATTCCTCAGTGTGTCCACGTCACCTCATATTCCACAGTGCATCCACGCCACCTCATATTCCACATTCTGTCGACTTCACCTCATATTCCGCAGTGTGTCCACGTCACCTCATATTCCACAGTGTGTCCACGTCACCTTATATTCCACATTCTCTCCACGTCATCTCACATTCCACAGTGTGTCCACGTCACCTCATATTCCAGAGTGTGTCCACGTTAGCTTATATTCCACGGTGTATCCACGTCATCTCAAATTCTAATGTGTGTTCACGTCACCCCATTTTCCACAGTGTCCACGTCACCCCACATTCCTCAGTATGTCCAAGTCATCTTACATTCCACAGTGTGTCCACGTTACCTCATATTCCACAGCGTGTCCACGTTAGCTCATTTTCCACGGTGTGTCCACGTCACAACATATTCTAAAGTGTGTCCACATCACCTGATATTTAACATCCTCTCCACGAGACCAAATATCCCACAGTGTGTCCACGTCACCTCAAATCCACATTCTTTCCACGTCACCACGTATTCCACAGTTTGTGCACGTCATCTCATATTCAAGAGTGCCGACGTCACCTCATATCCCACAGTGTCACTACGTGTCCTCGTATTCCGGAGAGTGTCCACGTCACCTTAAATTCCACATTCAGTTCACGTCACCTCAAATTCCACACTCTGTTCACGTCATCTCAAGTCCTTTATATATATTGACTGTCCTCGTCAGTTCATATTTCATATTTTGTCATCGTCAGTCTATAATCTACGCTGTGTCCATGTGTCAAGGTGACCTCTAAGTTCACATATGGAGCATAACAAATTCAGTGGTTACTATTTCATGCCAGCCTGTATCCGGCTTATTGGTCAGACTGCGGCGATGACCTGGGTCACGTTTTCAAAGGACCCTTTCTCAGCACATAATCAGCCAGGGAACACACTTTGACCAACCGATCCTCATTACCCGGTTTTCACGACAAGCCTGTGGCGATAGATCATCATGTGTCAGTGTTATTCATTGTGTAACAACGTATGAAATGTATTTACATAATATCTGTGGTTATTAAGTAAGTGACAAAGGTGTGCCATACTTAGCCAGTGTCCTGGAAAGTTCTACAATGTTCTACAGACGCATGGACATTTCAAACAAACATGTTTGTGGAAAGGTCTAGAACAGTTGTAGTTCCTTTGCAGTGGACAATAAGGAAAAGAATACACCATGCAGAATTGTGAGGAAAGTGATAACAATTTGAGAAGAAATCAGTCAGGTCATCATTTATCACTCCATGTTTATCCTGTATTGTGATTTATGGACTAGAATTTGAATTGATCTTCAGCAAACTACCCTTGTCGTAACAGTCGACTAGAAGGACTGCGTGGTCAGGCTCGATGCATTGGCTGACTCATGTCATCGTATCCCGATTGCGTAGATAGATGCCCATGGTTTCAATCACTGGATTGTCTGGCCCAGATTCGTTTTCTTACAGGCCGCCGCCATACAGCTGGAAAACGGCTAGAGTGCGGTGTTTAACACCAAACAAACAAAACGCAGCTGATATTTTGTTTTGTTTGATCTGCGTTTTAGTATTTGCGCAGAGCGACGTTGCGGGTAGATTCTTACACCCTTGTCAAGCCCAAAGTGGCTACTACAGCAGATCAATATTAACAACAGCATGTACAGTCTGTTTGATTTCATTTAAGACGGATGAATTGCTCACTAACAGAAATCTAATAAGAATCTGGTAGAGCAGCCAGGTAATCAACGAGCGTGTGTAGAGAAATTTCAATTTCACATCTGCAACTCGCACAGCTGGCTGTTATACCAGCAAGTGGTCCCCCCTCATCAAAAATAGCGAAAAATGACAACAAAATAATGATCGTTTGTTAAACAACATTTATAAACATCATCAGAGTTGGTCTGTCGATTTCACGTGACTGTGCAAAATGTGGTTTTACTATGTGCAATTACCATATTTTGTGTTAGTGAGCAATTCATCGGTCTCAAATGAAATCAAACGGACTGTAGTTGATAACAAGTGACGCATAATTGAATGAAGCCATGTGGGGAGTACGAAGAACAAATAGCACAACAAATACAATGTGATGAAGCCAATAAACACTAGGGATTAAAGTAAGCTATTAGGGCGCTATTGATACAGTCTATAGCTGGATTAACTCCTCTAAGTAGCTTTGGTCTCCGGTTTGTCGCAGCGTATTTCGATGGCTTCCAAAAGTGTTTTTTTCGTGAAGTCCTTATCCTTAGTGGATAGGATCTCAGCTTTGTCAAACTGGATTAGGTGGGTAGGGACGTTTTTATTACGAATGGCAAGTCTTTATGGATGATCAACATCTTTAATGTGCAATAGTGACGTTTCGGTATAGATACTTATACCGTTTTCAAGCATGCGTCGC